ATTATATATATATAGTATATATATATATATATATATATATATATATATATATATATATATAATATAGTATATATTATATATATATATATATATATATATAAACTATCAAAATTATTCTTTTATTTTTTTATGATAGTATACAATTATTCTTTTAGTTAACAAAAGCTACATTACAAGTTCATTAATATATAATTAACAAATGTTAATAAAAATTCTTAATAAAAGGAATTTTTCTCTTTCTTTATTTTATTTGTCACTTTTAAATAATATGTCGAGTCGTCTTTGAAAGTGGATTACCGCGAGTCTTAAGTTTCTTTAAGTTAATCTATAGATAAAGAAGGCTTCATAAAATATTTGTGCGTTAAATTGTGATTAGTAGGATTTTTATTTATTTTTTTATGATTAAATGGTTGCTAATCTACACAGAACTTCCAAAATCAAATCACCAACAAACATAAAGAGATTGAATGTAAAAGATGGATTAAAGCGGCCGCTTGTCAAGGCTACGTGAGTTTCGTCGGAAACAAACGTAATTCCAACCCTATTGGGTTAAGGGCGGAATGGCCAGAAGGGCGTTGCACCGCCAAGGCCAGAGACTACACCAGTGGTAGTGGACGATTAGATTTGAGGAGGAAAGGAGAAAAGCAGTTTGTTGGATTTAGAGAGAAGACAGCGGACTGTGAAATTAACATGTCACCCCTTAAATTAAACATGTCACCCTCCTCCCCTAATTTTTTTTTTATTTCACTTTTACCTTTGGATGAGATGCACATTATTTTCGGACGAAATTTCTGTAGAATGATTGAGATTTTGGGTACCACCCAAATTTCCGATACACCCCTACAAAATTTCCGATAATTTCCGATATGCGTAAATTTCAGGTAATGTATTCAAAATTGGGTTAAATAAGCTTTTGGTCCCTCTAAATATCTCAAATTTCGTTTTTAGTCCCTTTAAAAATTTTCCTTCAAAGAATGGTCTTCCTAAAAAATTAAATTTTAACTTTTTGTCCCTCCTGCAATTTATCGACGGTTTTTACAACTTAGCGTCGGTTTTAGAACAATTTTTATTTAGCGACGGAATTAGAGACTATTTTAGCTACGATTTTGTCAGGAGGGACAAAAAGTTAAAATTTAATTTTTTAGAGGACCATTCTTTAAAGGAAAAATTTAGAGGGATTAAAAACAAAATTTGAGATATTTAGAGGGACTAAAAACTTATTTAACCCTTTAAAATTTCTAGTGTACCGAAAATTTCAAATTAACTGAAATTTCTGGTAGTTATAAAAATATGATTTTTTAAATGGCTGAGATTTTACCGACATATTTGGATGGTTCTGATTGCACCGACACATTTATATGGTCTAGAATGCTTCACCATTTGTATAAATTGGGACATGTGTTATAGAGAAAATACATCTAAAAAATGTCTCTTCCTTAATTTCTGATTAAGGCAGAAGTGTATCACAACGGCAACAACCCTTCTGTTGAATTCAAGCTTCCAGATGGCTCTGAATCCTTTGTCATCTTGAATAATTTGCTGCCTGATTTCGATAACAGAAGAGTGACAAAGGTAGAGTTTGGGAGGATTGGATCGATACAAATGGAAGAGTGAAATACAACCTAATTGAGTTGAAGAATGATGAAGATGTGAAGGCCATGTGGAAATCATTTCGACGTAGGATAACTAAAGGTCCAATCGAGTTGGATGTGCAGATCCGAAGATCCGTCGACGACATAATGAAGATGCTGAAATGTCCAGAGTCATCCAGAAGTGCCTAGGTTTTCATGTTTAGTTGTTTTAGGGTTATGTATGTTGTACTATTTTATGTTATGTTCATCATCGATTCGAAACATGTAATCGCCAAAATATTATGTAATAAATAAGAAGTTTGTGTGTCACAAAATATACATATAACATAACCAAAAATAAAACAGATCTACATAGACCATCCACGGGCTACATCGACTAACCTAACTAAACCTCTATAGATCTCACCATCTGGGTTTACCAAACCCATGAGACTGTCAGCATGAACTGCAATAAACTAGAGGTGGTTGTCCTGATCTCCTACAGGTGGTGGTGGTGGCTCGGTAGATAGACTAGCACCAAAAAATTCCAGAACATCGTATATTACAGCCGGTGATATAACCCAAAGGTGTGTGACACACTGTGAATAATTAAAATAGCACATTAAACAATTAAAATGGTCAAAGAAAGAGTCATATCCAGTAGCTCTGGAAGAGAAATAAAAAGGAGGTCAAACTTGTTCGATCCTCATTTTACATTTGCTATAAATATGACCGAGATTATAAAACTCGTTCAATCCTCACCTCATAAATCAATTGTAAAATCTAAGATGGTATCAAACTCTACTATTACCTTTATAATTATATACATTAAGCTCAATTTAGACAAAATTAAGCCCAAAATCTGCCAAACACAATAATAGAACACTGCATTTTCTTAATCAAGTGAATACTAACCATTTAAGATACCTAAAGATTCAGTTATATGTAAAATCAACATTCATTAGCATAAAGTCACAACAGGTCATACGTTTAAAAATTGGTAATCTACAAAACCATGGAATATTTCTACAGCTCACTACATGGATTATCTAACAGAAAATACATTATTCAAATCTTCATGCTGGCACGGTGATCGTCAGATACAGTCTCTTCAGAAGATGTGTCACTATCAATAACAATCAAGTCATCTTGTTTTCTGGCATGATGTTCAAGATGCTTGTTCATTTTCAGCATCCCATATTTTGTTCTTGAATAAGTTGAGGAGTGAGAAGCATTTGATACGGATACGTCATTTGTCTTCAAAGCACTCGACTGACTTTGAGGCAGAAAGCATGCCTTACTACCACCAGCATCAAAGCAATGCTCTGCAGACGCATTTGGCTCTCTGGACATTGGAGGAGTATTGATAGCTTCTCTAAGCCAGAGTGGCAAATTATTCTTTGCATTTGAACAATTAAATGGGTAATCATCTAAATAAGAATTTTCCTTGGAAATACTCAAGCTTCCTGGAGAATTGAAAAATCCCAATTCATACTTATCCATGTTGCTGTTGTAAGAAGTTCTTCTGGAATGAATCATTGGCGCAGGACCGCGTGCAGCGTGGTTACTTCCAAGAAATGGCATGGCAAGAGATTTCTTCGAGTGGTTTCTTTCCTTATAAGAAAATACATCTTCAGGTGATAGATTAGTCTCCTCTATTGGATTTTGTCTCCAAGGACCTGATTTGGGATCTACGAAGTAAAAGTTTCCTTGCATTGCTGCTTCTGCTGCCGCCCTCTCTGCATTTGGATGCATGAAGTGTGGAACACTAATATCTTTCAGAAGTTTTGATTGTTCCTCCTCCCACCTCTCAGCAAGGTCCCATGGTTTCCTTAATGGTGAAAACCGCAATCTTGGATCCCTAAGCATAGCATCCCAATTTCCCCTACCGTGCCTCCTCACACCAATCCAGAGAAAATCCAATTCCTCTTCAGACCACATTATAGGGTGTGGCTTGAGATTTTCTTGAAAGTTACCTCTTTCGTTTAAAGCTCTTGTTTTGCTTATGATGTTGTCAAGCAATGCCTTGTGTCTGAGAAGCAATGGTTTCCGGTTTGTTGAAGACTGACATAATCCATCTTGGACAACATCTCTAGTTCCGGCGGTTAAATTAAAAAGAGGCAATGTAGGGAAAACAGTTAGAGGAATCACAACCTCCAGTTTCAAGCTCCGTAGGTAGAGACAAACCCAAAGAAAGAGAAATGTTTGGCACGTGCTTTAAATTATTAGTTTTAGTTTCTTGAACATTCGTTCTTTCATCCAACATTATGCAACAACCTGACTGAGATTGAGTAATACTTGAACAGACGTCATCAATGGTCTTTCCTTCTGAAATCAGCTGGTTATTAAAGAGAGACAGAGAACAACGTATCAATAATAGGAAACAAATCCCTTTTAGGAAGTCTCGGTAAACTTATTTTCAAGTTTCAACTAGGGAGAAAAAAGTATTAACCATTAATCATTGTTTTCAACTTGTGTTGATTCCCCCTAATATAAAAAATATATGTTTAATAGGGTCTCTCTAAATTGTAATTTAATCTTTCTAAAATATGGAAACTACCAGCATTCAAGTCAGAGATGTAAAAGCGTCATTTTGTACCTTTGTATTGCTAGAGCTTAAAAATTCCAGCTGAGTTACTTGATTTTCAACAATGGCAGATCTACTGCTTGTAGAGTCAGATTTGGCTACAAGATTTTTCGTCCCCAGGTGAAGGGAATGCTTGTCAGCACCAAGGTTCAATTCAACAGTGTGCTCTTCTGTAACACATGAAAATGCTATATGAACTCTTTAAAGAAATGCAAAAATGAGTGTAAAAGCATTCAAGAAAAATAGTTATCATCAATCCCAACTTCATAACAAAGCATCAGATTTATCATTTGCACGTCAAATTTTAAATGACCAATAATACCTGCAGAGTTAGGGGGCAGGTCACTACTCTGAGGTTGGTGCCCTTTCACTGAGGGTTGGAACTCCTCTAGTTCTTGGTTAGCAGTTGCTGAACCAGGACAGAGATCTCTAGAATCATCAATGATAGAGATTCCTTGGCAATCCTTCTCAAGATGTTGGACTTCCTTGTGCACCAGAGAACTCTGGCTTGGAACTTCTGTTCCAGCCATGTGAGTGTCAGTTTTCACTATGTCTTCTCCATGATGCAGTTGCTCTCCCGCGTTTGCCATACTGTTAGAACGAATACATCCAGATGCAATTACTTTTCATTAGATTTATAATATGTACAAAACTTAATATATTGAGTGTGATGAAAATATACCAGGTTTCAGAAACAACTCCACTAGTACATGGAGTGTCAGCATTTCTCACCTGTCATAAAACAAAAAACTCATGTGATTCACATGAAGTCTGCGATCAATTAATTGATAATGGACAAGTAAATTAGAACTTTGTCATAGAATCATTCTCTTCTTGACTTTGATGCTGCATAAGTACTTCAATCTTTTTTTTTTATGTCCTTTTTAAGCTATCTATCTGGTATCAGCATCACTACACTTATTCAGGATTTAAAAACAAACAAGCATACATAAATAAACAAATCCATAGATAATGTTACAACAAAAATCAAAACTTTTTTTTTCATGAAGTTCTCTACGGCCAAACTCCGTGTTCCAAAATTTACACTTGCTCGAGCATTGGTAAATAAAGGAGCTGAAACCCTATATTTTGTAAATTTAAATACAACATAAGAGGAAAGAAATTAAATCATGTCTTGACGCATTTATCATAGAAAAAGATTTAAATCATGTCCAGCCAACACATCTTTAAACCAGCAATGAGGAAAAAGATTTAAATCTTCTCAAGATAAAAAATAAAAAATAAAAAATAAAAAAAACTTATCATAGAATCCATCTTAAACATATCGCATATTATAATATATGGATCAATGAGAATTTTGAGTAACAGACCATATGGTTTAAAAAAATCACCAGGAAGCCATACCTTTTCTAGAGTCTGATGAAGCTCCCCTCTTTCAGAAAGCTCTGCCGATAGATTAAGGTCTGTTGGAAAACTCCTAGAACAGCTTCTAGAAGATGTAACATCTTGTGTCTGAGTTTGATTAAGGTCAGGTACATTGTTTACAGGACACTCGTCACAAGATGATCCGTCACTAGAAGAGGGATTAGCATTTGCAAGCATGCTCCACTTGGCTAGAACTGGAATGTTTTCCTTCTCGTGCAATGAATTGCTTTTCTTATCAGTCCCATTAATACACTTTTTTCTTTTGTAACATTGATAGGTTTTTAATGGTCTGGTCAAGTTGGTCTTTGTTACCTTACGTTCAGATTGGCTCCCGAAATTATCTTTGGAGGGAGACTCGGTAAGTCTATCTGCTGACTTATTCAAAACAAGAGATTCATCGCCACATGCAGCACTGATTTCTCTTGTAATTGATGCTTCTGAGTTGATTACATTGAAATCATTCCTAGCATCCAATTCAACTGAGGGTGGAATATTGTTTTTATTAGAACCATCGTCACATTCAATGCCATAGTTTTCACCTCCAGAAGAATTTTTCTGTGCGTCACAATCATTCTGCGAAGGCTTCGTTATTGGGGGTAATTCATCAACATCCTTCTTCGAGTTATTCTCACATGGATGTTTCGTTAAAGATGATTCCTTCGTAGTAATTACCCTCTCTGTTTCATCATGATTTCCAAGCTGCTCTGCTTCCAGACCACCTGACTTTTGAACTGGAAGTGGTGATGACTCATCCGGCTGTTTGATGCTTCCAAAGCACGGCTTTTTTCCATCACTAGTATCCTATTAAATACACGAACAGACAGACGAGTAAGCGCTTCATCATATTATATTCACAAGAGCTTTTTATATAACAAGCAATTAATCCAATCTAGAAAATAGAAAAGAAAAAAAAAAACTACATCATAATAAAAATCGAAGCTTCAAAAGTCATAAGAGTAATATACTTGTCACTTCTAATGCACGTTAATGAACCTACATATAGCATTTTGTAATAACAATTATGTGGTGGACATAAGTTGCATTAGAATCTCACCATTGACTTTTCTTCATGTTTTTCTGATGTCTTCTCATCAGTTAGCCTGTTGTGTTTAACTCGTTTAGTTAAAGAACAATCATGCGAATCATCACAAACTGAATTTTGGCCACGATTTCCATGGATGAAACAGCCACTTTGAGATTTCCGTTTTCTTTTGTAGGTTAGAAGTACCTTGTTGCCTAACATTTATACTTATCTAGAAAAAAACTCCTTTACTATTTGACCCTACTCTTCAAACAAATTGAAAGATTACAAGGGGAATACTGAGTCAAACATAAATAAGTCACAGAGTGCATCCGTGTCAATTACCATGGCCTGTGGATAAAAACACCAGAAAAATAGACATTAAGAGTGATAGAAGAAAAATGGTTCACAAGATTTTAGAATTCTGATAGCATACATATTTAGTCTAAAAAACCAATTTGAAGTCCTTTCTTTTATTGCTTTCCTAGTTAACTTGTGAATTAATTCAAAAGTTCCTGAAGATTGTAATTGGAATCATCAAAGAACACGTGCAAGAAGAGTAAACAAATTTCATAACACGCATTTGAAATATCGATTTTTAAATCTCCACTTGAACTTTACATGAGCAGATTGTATCGATATATAAATCTCCACTTGAAATATCAATATTTAAAATCTTAAAACAGTTTTGGTAACAGCAGATTTTCTTTCTAACATATACATAAGCAAAAATAGAATGACTAGCTAGGCATTCAATCGAACATCATTGCTACCAGAACAAAAAGTTACATTCAATAAGCTAAAATAAATGTCAATCTAGTAATATCTAATTTCAAATCTCTGAATAAGGTAAAACATCCACAAACTCTATAAATCACTGATTTTCCCAGATCTTTTTCCTTTTGCAATCACAATTGAACCATTAAGCACACACATGAGATTCTTTAACATACAATTCCATATAGAGACACATTTCCTAACCGGATAAACTTCTAAATTGCAATTTCATGACCATATTAACCCTAAATCATACGCAATACGAACTATACTAACCTAACCAGCACCAAGTCAGCCCAAAGCACAAGCAAGAAAATGCTCCATTTGAAAAAGTATCACAGAAAAACAAGCATAACACAGACCCCAAAATTGAAGCAAGAAACATCTCATACACAAACCCCAAAATCTGTTTTTACTTTAAGCAAAAGAATAAAAAAAAAGTATCTTCCTTGCAGATAAACCTAACAAAACAATGGGTCCATTTGAACAAAAGAATCATCAGTTTCCATCCACAGTTCAAGCATTTTCTACATCACCTAACAAATTCACAAACTTCATTCAAAGTCGTACAGTTAACAAAACAAAAAAGTAAACAGTAAACACCAAAAATGAAATTAGAAGAGTTATAAAAAAGGAGAAAGTACTTACAGAAAATGAAAGAAGAAACACACCAAAGATGAAGGTTCTACTGAGGAGCAAGAAACCTTCTTGTGCAGTGTATTTAGGTGTTGTTTTCTACTTTTTCTTCTTTGCAAATTGCACTGAATGGGAATAAGAACAAGGCAAGAAGAACAGGTGCTACACTCAGTGACAGAAACGTTTCTTTTTGGTTGCGTTTTCAGTCTGATAATAATGTACACGTCACTGCATCAGACGTTGTACTGTAGGCCCATCAAGGCTTAAGGCCCATTTCAACAACCATATAGCGAGGAATTAACATGTCAGATGCCACCTCCCTTTTATGCTTGACATCCTCAAATGACATGAAAAGATTAAATTATTCGGACTCAAATATTTTTTAGAAATTTAAAATTTTCATGATCAATCGGAATTTTTTAAATCTCTGTGGTGTTATTGGAAATTTCAAGGCGACACCGGAAATTTAGTGAGACAGAAGGAATTTCTGGTATATTTGTGAAATATCTGGTATTTTGTATCGAAATTTTCAAAAATTATGGTATTTTTGTACCGGAAATTTTGAAATTTCCAGTGTAAACATTTTCTTTCCTTTTTTACTAGAAATTTTAAAATTCCAGGGACTTTACAGAATACCAGAAATTTTAAATTTTCTGGTAGTTCAATTTTTTTTGAAAAAAAATCGAAAATTTAGAAACTTCTGGTAGTTCATATTTTTCTAATTTTTTCTTATTTCGCAGTGAGGACCAGGGACAAAGAGGATACCATTGCGGACAGACAGACTGATAGAGCAGAAGCTCAGGTCCGGGCTGATGAGGCACAGGCTTCCGAGCTACGGGCTGGCCGACGTCCTCCGATCGGTTCTCACCAGAAATGAATGGTTGAGCAGCAGGCTCAGTTTCGCGCACCGTGTCGTCGAGGATTGAGAGTTTCCACTGCTGAGGAGCATATTGTGGAGCCAATTGTTGCGGAGGTACATGCTTATGTTCCTGTTGAGGAGTCAGGTGCTACAGAGGTACATGTTCATGTTCCTGTTGTGGAGTCGACAACTGCGGAGTTTATTGAGGAGGTACATGTTCTTGTTCCTGTTGTGGAGCCAGAGGTTGAGCAGGTTGTGGAGCAGGAGATTATGGTTGAGCGCATTGACGAGGTGTCCCCCACTGATATGGACACCACGACTTGTGCGTATACAGAGCCATCAGTACACATAGATGGAGCGTTTCTTGGAGGTTCTTCAGACAGGTCTGTGCTGACAGAATTTACTGACCATATCGCCTACAGGATATGACATGGAGAGGTATATATTTGGTTTTCTTTAATTGCATAATTTTTATTTTTACTTATAAGATGCTTACAAGATTTGATGTATAATGTTTTGTTTCTGCTTCTTACAAGAGCGTCTGGTGCTGAAATCGCTTCTAATAGTTTGAAGTTGAAGAACTTCCCTGAGAGTCTGATGCATGTGGAGGTCAATAGTATCATTAGAGATTTTCATGTGCTGGAGTTTGTTGAGTGTTCCTTGACCATGTTGGATGCCTCCCTGTTATCTGCTTTTGTTGAGAGGTGGCACCAAGAGACATCATCTTTTCATCTTCCATTTGGGGAGATGACTGTCACATTAGATGATGTCGACCAATTGTTTCACATTCTTGTTGTTGGTACATTCTTCACACTAGTAATTATTAACCATGCGACAGTGGTGCGCATGGTTGTGGATGATTTGGAGGTGTTTGAGGCAGACATGTTAAAGGAGTTTGGTGAAACCCAGATATTTCACCTTCAGATGTCTTGGCTGAGGAAGTTGTATGAGGATCTTGTGAAGGCACGTAGGTATCAGGCTGCCATTAGGGCGTACATGCTACATCTGATGGCATGTACTCTCTTTGTGGACAGGTCTGGAGTTTACGTTGATGTTCAATACATGTCTCAGTTCAGCATACTTGACACTCCATGTTGGGCTTGGGGAGTGGAGGCCTTGACCATGTTGTACACGACACTTGACGTTGGTTCTCATGTTGAGAACAGACAGCCTGTTGATTACCTTAGCCTGTTACAAGTACACTAGATTTTATTTTATGGTTTTTGTTAGTTATTTGGGTGTATTTATTTGATAGTTTTTATTTATGCAGTGTTGGATATATGAGCACTTCCCTCACATATGTGAGCGGAAGATATAACGTGTACCAGCCACCGTTCCATGTGCGAGGAGATGGAATGGCAAGCAAGCCCATCCAGGAGGTTTGATGGAGTACAAGAGGAGCATAGATGCACTGACGTTAGAGGATGTCGTCTAGACACCATGTACATCTCATCGCCTTCATCGTCAATTTGAGGTGTCTACTTATTTAGGGCATATTATATGGGAGAACCATGTTGTTAGACACTTGTTGTAACGCCCGTAATTTAATTAATTATTTAATTAAATTATTTTTGGAATATTTGTGAAGATGTGTTATAATTAAATTGGATTTATTTTATTAAGTGGAGAAATAATATTAGAGATATAATATTATGTGGTGAAATAATATTAGGAGTGTAATATTATTTAATGTGGGCTTATTTTGGGAGAATAGAAGTAATAAGGGGGTGTATTGGTTTTAAGCCCAATATGGAATAATAGAATAATAGGATTATTTTATTGTTGTTGGAATAAAATAGAAAGAAAGAAGCAGTAGAAGGAAATAAGGATTTGGAGGAGAACGTACAAACTCTTGGAAAAAGTGGAAAACGGCAAGAACGAGAATTCAATCGGAATTGTAGAGCAACCTTCAATCCAAGGTAAGGGTGGGGTTCTAATTCTATAATTGAGTATATGATGATTGGTATGTGGAATTAGTGATAATTGTTGTCTTGTTCTTGAATTGGATGTATATGATGATGTATGATGAAGATTTGATGAATTTTAGATGGATTAATTTTGATGGTAATAAGTAGTATATAGTGGCATGTTGTTTCATTGTTGTAGCGCAAAAGTAGCATATAATAGCTTTTGTTTCAATATTGTATCACATGGAAAGTAGCATTGTCAACATTGTCTTGTTCCTGTAGCATAAGAAGAAGTAATACTTAGAAGTACTAGTCTCCATGCAGTGTGCTGTAACGTAACAACAAGGAAAGAAAATAATATTTAAATGGCATTGTTATTGATACTGTAGCGTTGAACGGAAGTAGTATTTTGAAGGCACTTACTTTTCCTGTTCCTGTAGCGGTATATATATATATATATATATATATATATATATATATATATATATATATATATATATATATATATATATATATATATATATATATATATATATATATATATATATATATATATATATATATATATATATATATATATATATATATATATATATATATATATATATATATATATATATATATATATATATATATATATATATATATATGAAGTAGCATTTGCTTGCATTTAATTTGTAGCATAAATATGAAGTAGCATTGTGAATCAATATCTAATGGCAAATGCTTGCTACTATATGCACAATATTATAATAATATTTTTAAGGCATTGGCTTGCTACTTTAGCACAAGAAATAAAGTAGTATTAGGGAGAATTATTTTGTACACTGTAATAATATAATAATGAAGTAGTATTTAAGAGGATGGCTTGCTACAGTAGCGATTTCTTTTTAAGTAGCAAATGGGAGGCACTCGTTTTTCATGTTGTAGCGGCATTAGTAATAAATAACACTTGGAGTTAACTGACTTACTGTAGCAATGTGGGAAAGAATTGGTATTTTTCACAGTACTGTAGCAATGTAAGGCAGTTAGTGGCATAGAAG